GGCACTTCCCCATGCTCCCTGGGAGATCAACCTGGTGACAGCCAAGCCTCTTCCCCAGGGACATCCCAACACAGCTCCCAAAGCAAAGCCCCACCTTGCCTGTTCCCTAAGGACTGTTTCTTGCTATTCCTGATGCCCTGGACAGCAACGAGCCCTCCAGGCAGGAACAGCCCCTCACCACGCACCGGTGGGCAGGAGGTGTGTCACCCCTCCCCTTCTCCAGGGAGCAATTCCAAAGAGCTTCCAAGCAGGCGAGGGGGATCAGCAGCCCCCAGGGGCAGAAGAGGGAGCCCGGTGCTCACCCGGGGCCTTGTCCAGCTCCTGGAGCATGGTGTAGATGCAGTGGTCGAAGAAGAGCTCCAGCACTCCCGACGCCCTTCCCAGCAGGGTCCGGATGATGCTCCTCAGCTCCTTGCTCGCCAGGCTGTATGGATAGTCTGGGGTGAGACAAGGGAGGGAGGAAGGAGTTTGGTGAGACCCCGTTTTGGGGAGTTCCAGCAGCTGGAGGAGCCGGCTGGGCACGAGGCGGGCACAGGGAGCGCCTCATCCTCAACCCCCGGCAGCACCCGGCTCCTCCTCAGGGGTTTTGGTCCAGAGGAAGCTAATCCAGCCCCGAGGGATGGCTTCCCGTTAGACACCAGCAGGGCAGGATGGACACGGGCCTGAAGAAGGTATTTTGCTCCTTTCCCCCTCCCCATCCCGAGCAACACAGGCTCAGTGCGAGTGGGGACCACCAGGCCACGAGGGACAGGGACATCCAGCCCCAACACCCCTCTGGACACCCAGAGTGGATCCCCAGACTCCACGGCAGCAGGCAGAGGTCATGGGTCCCCACGGGGAAGGGGTGACTGGGGAAGCCTCCCGTCTGCCAAGGGCACAGGCAGTTCCACCGTGTGTGTGGCCAAGGGGAGCTCATTGTGGGGACAGCCCAGAACGAAGCAAATCCTCCCCGTTCCGCTAATTAAGGACTGCGGCCTCCGCCCCCTTCCGGCCGGCAGTCAAGGAACACGGGACACGGGACACGGGACACAGGAAGCACGGGAACCACGGGAACAACCGGGACACGGGACACGGGACACGGGACACGGGACCACGGGACAGATACGGGACACGGGACACGGACCGTGGGGGTGCTGGCTCAGCACGGGGTCGCTCTGGGGTGCCTGCAGCTTGTAGTTGAGGTACCCGGCCAGGTCCTTCACCCACACGGAGGGGTTCTCGGGGAACACGCTCCGGCTCTTCTCCAGCTCCTTCTGCAGATCTGCCAGGTCCAGCTGGAAGGGACAGACGGACAAAGTCAGCCCGGGACGGACGGAACTGGACAAAAAGCAGGGGAAGGGAAAGTCAACTCTGGCTCCTACGGGAGTGTGGGGCCTCCATCCTGGGAACAACGCCCTTCCTGCTTGGAAAACCCCAGTTGCTGGGGCTCCCAGGGATCACTCTGGGCAGCCGGCTCTGTGCCAGGGCCAAGGAGCCCGTTGGCACATGATGGCACACACCAGCACTGCCAAGGGCTCGCTCACAGCTGCAGCTGGGCAAGGATCAGCCTGGGGTGATCCTGGACACGGCTGGTCCGTGTGGGCACTGCCAAAAGCTCCGTGCCCGGAGTGCTCCAGGGAGGAAACAACCACGAGCACCCAGATCCACCCGATGGACAACACGGCAGTGCCAAAGCAGGAGTGCAGCAGCAGCAGCTCCTGTCCCCTCCAGCCCCCCCTGCTACCCAGACACGCTCACTCCCTGCTCATACACCCGGATTATCCGCGGGCTCAGAGGGGCGGATCTGTCAGGGATGTGTCAGGGCACGCCGCAGGGCTCGGACTCTGCGTGAGCTTTTCCAGAGCCCAACGTTCCCTGTGAGCAGATTCCACTGCCAGGGCTTGGCACAGTGAGCTGGGCGCCCCTGGGTAGGTTTGGCTCAGCCCCACCTTCCAAAAGGAATTTGACACAAACCAGCTGCTGCCAGGGCAGGAAACAAAACCCAAAACCCCCATCAGTGACCTGGCAGAGCCACGTGGTGTCTCACAGCCCGAGCACCAGGACAGCCCTGGCTCTGCTGCCCTCCCAGGGAACAAGGGAACCATGCAGGGTCCTGTGCCCACCACCAGCACTCTGGGGGACAGAGGGAACCCCCGTGCAGGGGGGAGCAGAAGTCCCAGGATGGCAGGGGAGAAGCCCAGTGGGCTGTGGAGGGCCCTGCCAGGCACTGTCCCCACAACATGTCACCCCAATACAGCCCATCTGGGGTCAGTTCTGGAGCCTGCTGTGCTCAAGACAAGTGGGACAGACATTGACAAGGTTCCCAGACCCAGCCAGAGCGAAGGAGCTGCCAGAGCAGCTCCCAGGGCCCCACCGGTGAGACAGGGAGGATGTTCCAGCCACCACGAGGCTTCCTCAGGGTTCCTCCCAGACACAGACAGGGAGTGGGTGAGAAGAGGAACCAGAAATTCCCTTCCAGCCGCCTCCTGCCGCTCTGTCTCCTGCCTCCAGCACGAGGCAGCTCCTCCCAGCTGGCCCAAGAGGGGACGAGCCCATGCCCATGCATGAACCCACGCAGGGCCCTGTGCTCCGTGTGCCCCCTCCTGCCGGATCGAATGGACCCAGGGCACGCAGGGCAGCCGGAACACGGGCCGGGAACAGCGGCCCCTGGCATTGCAGCGGGTCGGGGCCCGGCTGGGCACACTCACAGCTCGCAGGGCCTCCTCCAGCGA